GCCTCATTAAAATTTTCATTTAAACATTAAAAAAGCTTTTTGTTACTAATGTCCCTGCCAGGATGCTGAGTTGATGCACAAAGAGACCCATAAGAATGTCCCAGCATCTGAGCCAATTTCATGTCAATGCGTCTCCTCGTCTCTTTGTCAGTGATTCTATAAATTACAAGACATGCTTATTTGGCTGTTTTATAATTTTCTTTGTGAGACTTGTGGGGCCTCGCGCACACACGTGTGATAAACACGCTGTGGAGCTGTGTGATTTGGTGCAGGGTCTGCGAATGACCTGGGGAATGCATCATGTCACTTTATATTTAGCTTCTATTTCCTCACCGCCTGCTCCTCTGCTGCACATGGTATGATTTCTGAGCATATGTATGTGTGTGTACGCGAACAAAAGAGTGAGACGTATCCCATCACCCCCTAAAATTCCTTCATTCCCCCCTCCATTGCTCCCTTATTTCCCCGATGACTCAACTTGCCTTGTAAAATCCTGAGCCTGGCTGCTCAGCGCCCTTTAAAATGTAAAGCAATATTACAAAGTCTGACACGTTGATCTCTGTTGCTATTGTTTCAGGGGTCCAGTGGATGTAAAGAAAGCCGTCGCTGTGCAGAGTTAAGTGGGTGTGAGCCAAAATGTTCACTTTATAAGGTTGTCTTCACGCCAGAGGAAAATATACAAGGAACTGATGAGTGAACTGTACGACGGCTTTGTTTGTTACAGGTGGTAAAGCATAAGAACCCCCCCCCCCCCTAAAAAAGAGAGAGAAAATGTGCCACATGTTTTTTCCGTGTTTGGCATGTGGATCCAGCCGCTCCGTAACTTCACCTCTCGTGTGTTTAGTTATTTACAGCCCCGACAACAAAAAAGCCTTGAACTGTTCAGCAAACTACACAGAATCCTTTGTGTCACAGGCAAAACAGGAAATCAGGCTTTTGTCCGCTCGAGATGGCATCAAAAAACACCTTGTTTCATCTGTCTTAAGCAATCCCATCTTGACGCCTTCACACGTCCCCATGTGGGGCTTGCGCTGCTCCTCAGAACAGATTGGGAAACAGCACAAACGATCTGCCGGGGAAGTCCCAGCGGGCTGCCATAACATGCTCGTTTGCCGACGCACCTCTGTTGCACGGGGCCCATGTTTGATTCCTCTCAGGTTGCCCCTCCCTTTCTTTCTCTGCTGCTCTCACTCTCACTTCACTTCTATCACTTGCTCATTTCACTGTCTATATCACCCACTTGCTTTATTCCCCTCTTTCCCCCCTGTCCCTGACACTCGGTCTCCGTCAGCCCGCTGGCCCGTCTGTCTGTCTGGCTCTCTTTCTTTTTCTCTCAGGCCTGCCTCCCTCTCTCCCTCTCTCCCTCACACCTCCTCCTCCTTCTCTTTCACTTCAAAATACGTGCTAGTTGGCTGTGTCTTGTGGAAATGCCAGCAGTGATTGTATCCTTCATCCACAATGCAATAATAAAGCAGGTGTACTCCTGCCCCCTCCATCTTCCTCACTCTCCTTCGTTCCTTTTGTGCCTCAGAAATGAAATGTATTGCCGCGGTAAAAAGCAAAACGGCTGAAAGAAAGATATACAGGAAAAAAGGTTATATTGCCTTTTTTCGTATGTTGGTTTGTGTGCGGCGGCCTTTGTTGGCACCTGGGTTAATCCAGAGAAAATGCTGTTAATATGTATTTCCCATCTTAAATGAAGCATCGCTACAAGAATTGTGCCCTTTGTCGTACATCGCTGTGTACTGCTCCCCACAGATCCAGTGCTGCCCGCTCAACAAACAACATTTATCTCCTCATTTAGTGAAAAAAAACACATTGAATTTCCTCCTGAGGGTAGAAAGTTTCAAAGTTTTGCAGAATCAGTTTGTTGGACGAAGTCTTAAAGTTGCATTACACCTGTAAGCGGAAAAACAACAGGTTTTTTTTTGGTGCATACCCCCAAATCTAGCCGGCAATAAATAACAAGATGTCATATTGAGTATTTGTTCACGGGGGACGATGGTTTCCTGATTTCTCGGGTGGAATGGTTTGGTGGATGAATCGCAGGTGTAGGAGATATTGCGTGGTGGATGGAGACCAGGTGCTGGAGTTATTTCCGGTCCACGCTGTTAATCACCAACCTGACGCTGAAATATGGCGTGCAATTTAGCAGTTTTAAAATAGAGTTCCCCTCGCCTGCATATACTTAGGTTGGGGAAATAATAATAAGGGCACGATAAAGTCAAGAGACAAGAGGATGTTTCATTTAAATGTGCGCCGCAAAAAATGTGTTCTGTTTTATCAGCGAACGTGGGGCTCAAAGTCTGCAGGATAATAGAAACTAAAAAGGATCTGATGCTGTCTGCCTGATAACAATAATTTGACAGTTTCAATTCCTATGCAGCAATCATGGCTTTGATGTGAGGAGCTGATTAACAACTAACTTCACCAATCCCCCCATTCGAGGATTTTATGTGCACATGCAGCATTCTAAGTGAGAAGAACAAATGAGGGAGAACAAGTCCCTCTTTTTCCTCCAAACTTTTTCTGCTTTTTCAGGCCAAAATAAACAACAAATAAGCGTGTGTATTTGTGCACTATTGATTTGAGTTCCATAGATGAACCGATACATGACTGTAATGTCAATAAACAGTAAATAAAGAGAAGAAAATATGGGCGTGTTTGCTCCAAAACAAGCTCTCTCCTGTTTGCATTAATTTGCGTTGCAGCTTCTGGAAGAGTCAGAGTGTGACAAAGGTTTACATCAGAGACAGACTGTCTAAATATCTGATTATAAGCTGTTTATCCTCATTAAACGATGACAACATAGTAACGCCAATACGCAAGAGGCCTCAAATGTGAAGCTGGTCAATATCTATTGACAGACGAATCATTGTTGTTGTTCTTTCGTTTCGTCATTGTCCAGGCCCCGATGCATGAGGGTCTAAACTGGGAGTGAATGTGATTGGATTTTCGGTCTCCGTCATTAAATTCCCATGCGGGGAATACTAATTCCAGTATTTAGTGCGGTGATGCTGGGGCTTGCTTTCATCTTAAACTGATTCCAGTCTAATTAGATTGGGCATGTGGGGGGTGGTGGATGTATGTCTGGACTAATCCCTGCCTCTCTGTCCCAAACATTGTATTATCCAGAGAAAATCCATTGGCTGCAGGCTATTCAAAGCCAGATCTGCCTCCTCTGCAGCCTCTGCACTGTATCATCTGGAGAGCCGTGGCTCGGAGGGTACACTGTGCAGTGAGGGTGGAACCTAATGGTCATGAGTGATGTATGGGTTGCAGAAAACGCCATTTAGAATTTACAGTAAACCTTTTATCGTGTATTCAGGGCAAGACCGCTCACTGCTGTGGCCTCTTTAGCAAAGCTGTGTCTGAACTACTCTTCTCTTCAGAGGGCATTTTTATTCTAGGACAGTGCAGTTAGGCGGTGGAATTGGGTGGCCACTAAAATACAGTTAAATTAAAAATTTTTTTATATTTTCTTGGACTAATAAACAGTCAGAACCTGTAAACAATATACCTGAGTATGTGCGTATTCCCTGTGCACAGATCAGACTGTCACCCTGCTTCTGAATAACGGACAGACCACAGTGAAATCGCGGTGTAAAGAGGTCCTTCCTCTAGGCACCGAGAAGGCCAGAAAAATGAAAGGCCTTCAGCCATTTTTCTCCACAAAGGTCAAACACAATTCAATTCTATAGTATGAGGGGGGAGGGCTATCTCGGCAAGCGGCTGCACTTTAAGGGTGAGCAACGGGAAAGGACCATTCAGCAGCACATTAGTCAAGGGCGAGGGGTGAAGTCAGAAGGAGGTGAGGAGGGGGGGGGGGGGGTCAGAAAAACATGTTACATGTTGCGGCTGTTTCACTCCACACTGGAGTGTTTGAGCGAAACAATAAAGGCCACAGCCGACTCTGCCCGAGTGAAAAGATCCTCATCTTCCCCTTCATTTTTTGATGTCCTTGTGAAATTTCATTAGGTGGATTTAACGACTTGCGAATGTCGGCTTTCTCCGTGACCCTGACACCGGTGGCGGACGCGACTTGCTGGCAGGGCATGATGTATTGTGTTGAGGTCTTCCTGAGGTGCAATTTTTAATGTGACAGCATCTGTCAACCTCAGCTCTTAAAATTTCACCCTGCCGTCTCGACTTGGCGTCAATTTTTGCTTCTCAGAATAAAGGCGGTTTATAATTTGCACCACAAAACACAATTTCTTATTTATCTATTTATCGACTGGGAAATTTAGTTTAAATATGCTTTGGCCTCTCGATGCTTTGCTTCAGTTGGTGATATGCACCATGTTCAACATCATCAGCATGGGCAGTCGAATGACAGAAAGATTGAGTCTAGTTGTAGGAAACAGCAGATGTTCTTCACCCTCCCATGTGATCATACACTTGTTTATCTATGGTTTTGATTTGTTATTGTGGATGTTTCCCCGATGATGGCAGCGTTGGAGAGTGGCACCTGATCAGATGCAGATTAGCAGACACTTCAAAACCTAATCCCTGCATCTGCTTAGAGTCAGATTACCACAAATAGCATAATGATGGGAAATACCCATTTGGTGATTTAGAATTTTAGTCTGTGACTGACATGACAATTATTGAAGGGATGTTGACTCGATACATAACATTTGAAAAAACAAAGGTTTGCCTGAAACCAAAATGTAATAAGATAAAACAAAATCATATTTTTGAAATGTGTGGTAAATCGTCAGCTTCGATTTAAGTGTTACGCTCATCTTGAGCTGCTTTGAAAAGTTCACTTGAATGAAACTTCATTTAAAGTGTACTGGTTCACAAACTTATATTAAAATCATAATTTAAATGTAACTGTTTGAATTTTAAGTAGCCAACCAAACAATACAGTGTAAGTAAAGGACAATAAACATAACAAGATATAAGAGAACATTAAGTTTAAATCGAATGCGGAAATGTATGAATGAGTGTGTGGAAAAAACTGAAAATGAAATAAAGAATATTTGATGGGACCAGACTGGTTTGCAGATACAGTTTTTAATGTATCACAACAATGAGCAACAAACATACTTGATGAACTATTTCCAGAAGTTGTTCAAATACCATCTACAATAAACGTCATTTCAACTATGACAACAGGTCTGTGACAAAATAAAAAAACGGTTTCAAAACCATGTTATTACCGTGATACGGTACAGTTGAGACCTCAAACAGTACAGTAACAAAAACTAATGCGACTACTCTCTATATATAAAACATCAATAACATTTTTGGTTTAGTTTATTTAAAGTTTTAGCCATAGGGGCTTCTTCTTATTAAAACCTCAGGGTGCATTTCCTATGTAACCCAGATGTTGAAGAGTACATATTGTGTAGGATATGATTGCGCCATGAAAATCCCTTTGACATCCAGAAGAACAATTCCAATTTCAACCTTTTGAAGGCTGTCCCCATAAACATGACACAATCCATCCGTTTGTTTTTAAAAAGTTCTTTTTTTTTTTCTTTTTGGCTGCTGTGCAGTTGCAATATCTATGTACAGTTATATTGTTGGACCATCCTTTTTGTTGGTTTGTTAGCTTTTACCAGTCCTTGGTGTGGAAAGCGTCCTGTCTGAGGCTAACATCTTAGCACATGATGCTAGCTGACAGTTCAGTCTTTTAATGCTGAGCCACCGAGTGGGGAAAGGCAAAAAGCCAGAGTTGTGAAAGCCTTTGGAATCCGGACAGTCGCTCATGTTTGTACAATGGCAGAATTGCACCTTGGGAGGCCAGGATGTCTCTTATGAAACACAATCGAAAAGTGTCTTCAGGATTAAAGTAAATGTCAAAATACTAAAAATCCAAAAAATGACATTTAAAAAGCTCACGCAGAAAATTAAAGTCTGACATTTTGCTTTAAAACTTTGAAAAAAACACCTTTACAATAATAAAACATAAAAGGAAATGTTACTTGATTTCATTGTTTGAAACAATAACTAAGCATGATTTGATTTAACCTGTCAAACAGTTGCATTACATGCTACTTGCTCATCTCAGAATAGGAAATACCAAAAGCAATACATTTTTGCATTTCTTCATATTAATAAATTTGTACCATGCACAGCCAACTACGAATATGTACAACAGCTTAGCTTTCTTTGTTCACAAGCCTTTTTCTTTCATACAAATAGCCTTCTGTTACTTTGGAATGAATCACATTGGTTTCAATTACCAAACTAGAAAGTGATTCGTAAAAAATTGAACACCCTTTGACAGCTTTCACATTCTTAGTTCCACAGCAAAATAACATAAAATAATAAAAGGTAGCAAAGCAAAGCAATTAATGGATCAGTATCTTGTCTGGTAGAAAGTTGAGAGAATGTATGGCAAGCAAAATAACTTTACACAGTAGCAGCAAACTTTGTAAGGTAATACTTTGCAATGTTGAAATCACTAAATGTGGAAAAATGAAAATGTTGACTTTAACTGTAGATCATCAGAAGTGCCCAGAGAATTGATGGGAGGACGTCAACCTATGCGATAAATGTCTGTGTATACGTGTAACACTGTTTTAAGTCCTACAAGTACAGGAAAAGGTTTTTTAATATACAACACAAATGCTGTTGTCCCCCTTTTAAAGCAGCATATTTTCAAACGTAAATGTTCATACCTTTTTTTAACATTGTGACCAACTTGTACCTTAACAGTTTCAAGTATACAGTACTGCTTTCATGGATGCACCAATTATTAAATAGGTCTCTAGATTGTTAGGCATCAATCCTGTAACAAATGTGGACCAATATGCTGCTGCAATAGACACAAATAATAATTAAAATACAAACATACATACATACAAATGGAAAAAAATCTATTAAATTAACAAATGGCCTACTCAAATAATAAAAAGTCAAACAAAAACAAAATAAGTGCACTATAGTCCAGACACAAGCAGGTACCGTAACAGTACAGCAATTCACAAATGAAAAATGTTATATTCACATAATCCGAGAGAGTCTATCAAAACTAGAGTTATTACCTCTTCAGAAAAGGGTGTGAGCAGAGGTAAAAGTGAGAAGGTAAGAGTTGGCACAGATTAGTATATACTACAAGAAAAAAAGGAAAAAATGGGGTGGGAAATAGATACAGCTTGTTGAAATACAAACTGGCAAACACAGGGGCATCATACACATTTACTTCACCATTCTATATTCCCTCAGTGGCAAAACCATACTGTCTTTGTAGGGCAAAACTAAAAGGATATGCACATCGTCCATTGTAACAGTAATATTGTCTCTTGGTACTCTATACACATCAAGGAAATGCGTCCGATAAAGCTTGACATGTTTTGGTTATAAGCCAAGTGTACCCAGGCTTGTTGCTGCTTTAACAAATGAGAAATGTTATGTTCTGACCTGAGAATTTAAAGCTACTGAATTACACCTATCTAAACTAAGAGAGATTCTCTTTGAGGGTTCTGGATCGTCATCCCATACAGTACATGCTAGCATTTGGAAAACAATCCAGCTGAGGTGCAATTTGCTATCGTGAGAGTTTTTGGCTTGAAACAAGCTCCCCAAGGGAGCCTGTGGGATTTTTTCCTACTCCATGTTTTTGTATACAATATAAGCTCAGTCAAGCATCTGCAACAGTTCTGTCCATAACAAAAATCAATCAATATCTTGCCAGCATATCAATATGGGAAAAACAATCCTGAGTCAATCATTTGGTACTGTAATTTTTTGGGTTAAGAGAGACTTTGGAACTGCAGTTTAAAAAGTCTTATTTTTTTCTTTAAGCAAGGGATCCTTTTGTCACTCCTACACACTGAACATATCCATTCTGATACTACTGAAGCTCGCGTCTAGGCCAGAGGCCGGCTTAGCCTTGACTTCCAACGCGTTCTCTAAATCATCCAGCTTCTGGCTTAGCTCATTGTCAGACTCATCTGAACAACTCTCGGTGGGTAGTGAGGTTGGAACCCCTGAGGTGCTGCAGGAAGTTGAGGTAACCGTTGAAGGTGAGGAGAGGGGGGGAGGAGGAGAGGCAGACGGGGAGGAGGAAGCAGCTTTCCGGGCTGTGGTGGCCTGGAACAGGACATTTGGCCAGGACTTCATGGACAAGCGAGAGAGATGAGGAAAGGTGTTATTAGAAGAAGCTGCAGACTGCGAGGTAGATGTGGTGTTAGGAGTAGGGGAGCAGACAGAGTGAGGTAATAATCTAGTATGCTCTTTGGCATTTCTCATTGCTTGTTTGATTGTTTTCTCTTTGTGCAAGCTCGACTGAAGATGTTGGCCAAGTGCTTCATTCCCGTTAACAACCACATTGCAGGCAACACAAGTGTAGTTGCTCACTGCTTTTCGAAGCACTGTCTCTTGCGGGTCAGTAAAAGGATGTCCGAAGTAACAGAAGGACTTCTGATGACGCACCACTGAATCTTCATCAGCAAAAATCATCTGGCACTTCCTGCATATAAACTCATGCTTGACGGACGGTACAATAAAAGCGTCTGGAAAATCCATGGTACTTTTGGTATCTGTTTTGGGATCTTCTTTTGTGCTTTCTGTTGAAGAGCCTTTGTTGGTGTCATCCTTAGCATCTATAGCATCTTTTGGTTTGAAAGAGTTGGTGGTGGTGCTCTGTATGCTCTGGGGTGTCTTCACAGGGGTGGGTTTCTGTTGCTGCTGCTGCTGTTGTTTCTGCTGTTGCTCAAGTTGTTTCTGCTGCTGCTGTTGTTGCTTCTGCAGTGAATCCTGAAGGGACTGCTGGTACTGCTGGTACTGCTGCAGGAGAGCGGTCGGGGAGAGACCAGTTGCCATGGCAGCTTGTGGGACTGCTGCCGGGCCATATGGAAACAGGTTTTCCATTCCACACAGTGGTGGGAAGTAGCCCCCTGCCTGGACCCCTCTAGGAAGCTGGGGAGAGAAGCAGTTTGGAAATCCAGGGAAAAAATAGGGCAGGAACTGCCCCCCCAAGAAAGAGGTGGGATCACTTGCCGCAAGAGCATTCTGAAGTGCCTGGAGCTGTGACGCATCCAATGCAGTCTCATTTCCTGGTTTCCCTGGAGCTGAACGTTGTTTCTCCCTTTTCTTAGCCATGCTTGGGGTCTCAGGGCGTGAGCCACTCTCGTTCTCTTGTTCCTTCACCTTCATCTGCAGTGACTTGTCTCCTGATTTCTTGCTGCGGTCTCTCTCTGTGTCTTTGCCTTGCTGCTCTGTATGATTTGCTGCTGCCAAAGGTGTGGAGGGAACAGGAGGAGGAGGAGGAGGTGGAGGAGGAGGAGGAGGAGTCTGCAGAAGAGTCTTGGTTGGGGTAGTGCTGAGAGACATGGCAGGAGAGGGGGTGGCTGGTGTAGGGAACCCAAGCATGCCAGCACCGGGAGACGCTAAAGCTGAAATACAGTGGTATATAAATATGGAAATGTTCAATATTTAAATATTCAATCCCAAATTCCTATGGAAATTGTTTGACAAGATAAAGTAAGGTGTTCAATTTGTCACTGGCTGACTCTTAATGTCTCATTAAGATTTTGTTATGGATCAAAACTGTTCCCATGCGCTTTATGATAATTTCAATCTGCCAATATATTACAATATAAATATACCAAACCTACAATAAGGGGAAAAACAAACATGAACAAAAGTTATGATATAGATACATTTGTTGTAAAAAAAAAATCTCATCAAATTATCAATTAGCAGGTCAACTCTGATGCTGACAATATGCATGCACTAACTCCCACTGTTTTTCATTTTAAAATAGTTTAAAAAATAAGACTTTTTGACAAACACCACTGTGATACAGAATAAACAGTAGTACAGTAGAATAAAATAGTGCATGATAAAGCTCAGTTCATAAAGCTTGTAGTCTATTTAATTTTTTTTCTGTTCGTCATACTAACTCACCAGGTGTGTTGGGTGGGAAAACAGGAAGTGATGATGGCCCATTGACCCCAGGAAGTAGCACGGGTGGTAGGCCAGATAACCCTGGGTAGCCTGAGGGTAGGCTGAGGCCATGAAGTGCATTACTGTTGTCCACTGAAGTCTGTTGCTGCTGGCCAGGCAGGCTAAGTCCCTCACCAACTTTCTTCATGCGGTCCATCTCTTGCTGGGCCATCAGCTGACGGACAGTGGTCGGTGCTAGGTAGTCCTTTTCTCTATCCACCTGGTTTCCCAGGGTTTCTTGCACTTTGGCGATGTGCTGTCTGGAGAAAATGTGGTCTCGTACAGACATCCGGGCAGTGTACTTTATACCACACAAGGTACACTCAGGCCTGGGCCCCTCTGGTGAGCCTTGACTTATCATGAATGGCTTTCCAATGTTAATCTTGAACTTCTTTTCTTTAGCACGGGCATTCTGGAACCACACCTGAACAACACGCTTAGGGAGTCCAATCTCATTGCCCAGCATCTCACACTCTTGCATTGTGGGAGTGCGGTAGTCACTAAAACAGGCCTTAAGAACTTTAAGTTGCAGGTTACTCATCTGAGTCCTGAAGCGTTTGTGGCCTGGCCTGTCCCCAGAATTGCTGCCTTTGCCAGACTTGAAAGGGTTACCTGTCCCAAAGGTACTAGGGGAACTAGGATCAGCTAGGCTTGATGACTCACTCCTGTCATTGCTTTCATCCATGTCATCATCCCTGGAGCTAAAATAAGAGTCACAGTCTCTTCCAGAAAAGCTCAGGGAAGGGCTAACCATGCTGAATTGGAACCTTTCATTGCCAACATCGGAATTTGGCAACAGGCCACACCTGTTGTCACTCAACTTGTCTCCTCCATTGGCAGTGAGGCTCTCAATCTCATTGTTATTACCCTCATCTCCAGTTGTAGCATCACTTATGGCTGTATTAATTGATGATGTCTCGTCAAAGTCCATCTTACTGAGATCATAAGATGAAGCTTCTGCTGAATTCATATTAGGCCCTTCAGTTTCATCACAGTTTTCAGCTTTTAAGGATGAAGGGCTTAAGAAGTTTTTTACCTGTGCATCAGATGGTTTGAGTGGGGTTGAGGATGCAGCAGGCAGCTCATATTCATTTGGCTCAGTCTTGGTAGGCAGCTGTGAGAAGTCAAAGAAATTATATTTATTTGGGCTTTCTCCTCTTTCATTGTCTTGATTCATCATTGGGCTTGGGGGCAAGCTAAAGCCTGCCTGCTTAGCCTCATGCCAGTGTCTGGATCTTATGTGACTATCTAGAGCAGATTTAGCCTTAAACAGTGCTCTGCAGAAGGGACACTTCTTGTGGGACTGGGAGGGCCCTATAGCTCTAAACTGCCCCTTTCTCTCTCTTGCACGGGTATTTTGGAACCAAACTTGCACAACTCTCTTTTTCAAGCCAACCTCTCGTGCAATATGGTCCAACATCTTCCTTGTTGGGTTAGAGTCAAGTAGGTATTTGTCATAGAGAATCTCCAGTTGTTCTGGTGTAATGGTGGTTCTCAAACGTTTATCTCTGTGTTGCTCTTCACTACTATTTCCTCCATCTTTGTCATTACCACTTTCGTCTTTGTCATCCAGTTTCCTTTTCATTGCTCCAGAGCCTGCTGCGGAGGCCAAACCAGAGCTACCCTGAGATGGGATTTGGGAAAGACCTCCAGATAACAGCTGGCTAGCCATTAGGGGGTTGTTGGGATCAAAAATCATGTAGGGCATATCAATGGGTCTTTCAAGGAACTGAGAATGAAGGAATTGGTTTTGGGCAGCCAAGAAATGCATGTGCTGGTGCTCCTGCCATAGCTCAATAGTGGGGAATGCAATCTTGCACTGGTCACACTGGTACTGAAGCATTTGGTGGGGGAGACTGTTTGTGAGTGAGGAAAGGGCCAAAGACAGTGGACTTGAGGGCACTGCTGCTGCCTGTGGCTGGGAATGGGGTCTTGATATTTGTGGCTGGGGAGCCTTCTGAGGAGGTGGCTGAGGAGTGCAAGCCTTAGATGGTCTGGGCTCTGGTAGTGACTTGATCACTGGTGACTGGGCAGTCTCAGTTTGTTTAATTTCAGTTTCAGGGCCAATGTCTGGCTTAGGGGACATTTTCCCCAAACTGGCACGAGGAGAGGCCATCACAGGGGAGCTTGAGCCAGAACTGGTGGCAGTTCCTGTTTGGGACTGTTTAGGTGGCTCTAAAGGTCCTTGGGTAATCCTAACGGGACCCTGCTCAACAGAATCTGTGTATTCCTCAAAAGATTGGTCCTCATAGCCTTCCTCATCTTCATCTTTATAACACAGCTTTTTCTGGTGAGTGATAAGGTCAAAGATGCGTGGAAACACAATGTTGCACTTTTTGCACTGGTACTGCATGTTACTGGTTCTGATGTATCGCTCATTGGTCAGCTCTTTTTTCTCATTATCTTTACAATCTGCCTGGTTCTCATAGCTCTTGCGCGCTTTCTGGCGGGCATTCTGGAACCACACTACAATGACTCTGGTTGGTAGATTGAGCACGGTGGAGAGCTGCTCAATCTCATCATCCTTTGGATAGGCATTAGTGTCAAAGAAATCCTGAAGTACCCTCAACTGGTAATCAGTGAATCTGGTCCTGGAGGACCTCTTGTTGATGGATGACTCGGTTCTGTAATATTCATGGGCACTGAGCTGGGGCTCCATTCGAATATCTTCTAATGTAGTAATAGGAGGAATATTAAAATTGTAGGGAGAGTCTTTACTCCGCTGTCTTTCTTTAAAAAGTGTGTTACGGAACCAGTGCTTTATGACTTTTTGGGGCAAGCCAGATTTCTCTGACATCTCCTGGATTTGCTCTTCATTGGGAGAATTGTTGATGTCAAAGTTGGCACGCAAGATCTTAAGCTGGTCATCAGTAATACGAGTGCGAGGCCTCTTAAACTGAGACTGACGGAGAAAGTTTGGATCAAGACCCAATTGTTGCTGGCAAAGCTGTGTAAGGTCTGTGGAAAGAGAGTCCATTGTGGGCAGTTGGAGGGCCAGCTGAGGGGGCATGCCTGGGTGCTGGACAGACTGCATCATTAGAGGTGGGAAAAGGGGCAGATCCAAGGAAACAGGAAGCTGTACTTGGGGTGGTGCAGATGGGGCAGAGGGTGTTTGAGGAGTTGGTGGTGGCTGGGATGGTGGTGCCTGGTGAGAGGGTTGGTGTGGGGTCTGGTGGGAAGCAGGAACCGGTGAAGGTACTGGGGTTTGGGGCTTGGTCATTGATGTAGATGGAGGCTGTGGAGCCGTCACTGGGGCTGGAGCAGGAGGTGGCGGAGGAGGAGGAGGTGGTGGAGGCGGCGGTGGTGGAGTCTCCGGTGAAGCAGGGTTTATTGGATAGAGTTTGTCATAAGCCTCTCTGTACTGCTGGGCAAACTTTTCAAGCTCCACATATGGGAAAAATTGACTGTGCACATGTTCCTGGTGACTTTTGAGAATAAGCATATTGGAGAAGAGCTTTCCACACATTCCACACTCAAGCTTATCATTGTTCATTTCTGCATTTTCAACTCCTTCTTTGTTTTTCTTTTGGTTTCGTTGTCTGTTTTCATTGTACTGGATGACTAACTCAAATCCAAAGTTCTCTAGCAGTGCTTTGGCTGCATTGCCCCTTGCTCCTGACACAATACGTGGGGGGGGAATCAATGGCTCTGAGAACTTTGACTTTTTAGAATCTCTGTTGTCTTTTCCAACATCACCTAATGCATCACCACCATTTTCCATTTTGGCTCTGTTCTCTTGTTTTTCTAAGTGGTCCTCTGCCTCTCTTGACATTTGAATTTCTGAAATTGAAATAGTCCCTGACTCCATTTTGGTTTTGTGGTTCTGCAGTTGATGATTTTTCTGCTGCTGAATTTGAGACTGTTTCTGAGAGGCTTGCTGTTGCTGCTGCTGCTGCTGAGCTTGTTGCTGTGCCTGAGCCTGCTGCAGCTGGTGCTGCTGTTGCATCTGCTGCTTCAGATCCTCTAAGAATGATCCAGTGAGGCCAGGCATTCCAAAAGCTGCTGCTGAGTGAAGCGCAAGTTCTGGGCTCAGGTTGAATTCAGCTCCAGGGATGTAGAAGGGGAACAGAAACTGTGGTTGTTGAAACTGTAGAAGTGCTTCTGGGGTCATTGGAAAATGGGGGAAAAAAGCTGGATTAAGAAACTGAGGCTGGAAGAAAGCAGCTTGTTGCTGGAGTTCATGCTGAAGCTGCAGTTGCAGTTGGGCTGAGGACTGCGCTGACTGGTGAATGCTTGCCTGTGCTGAAATATGGTCAGTAGTTGTTTGTTTATTACTGTTGCTGCTGTGAGCTTCTTTGGGATCCACAGTGTTTTCTTTGTTAGCAGAGGGTGTGCCACTTCTTGCAGCATCCGAGTTGCTGCTGTTCCCTTGTGTGCTTGGTGCTGGACTCTTTGCAGGCACTGGACCACTAGTACCAGAGATGCTGCTGCTGCTGCTGCTCATTTCAGTTTTGGCTGTTCTTGCTTTGGTCTGGTGGAGTACGGACCTCATATGAATTTCAAGTGTTGAACTTTGGCTGTAGGCAACATTGCAAATATTGCATTTAAATGGTTTGTTATCAGTGCTGTTGCTTGTCTCTTGTGGGACTGGACTTGATGCTTCTTGAAGGACTTTCTTCAACTTATGCAAGTGGGAAACTGAATTATAGTGGACTAGTAAGATGTTCTTTTGGGTAAAGGACTCCTTACATACTGTGCACTTGTAAGGACGAGAGGGGTCCAAAAATTTCTCCATTGTAAAGTTGGGCCCTTTTCTAAATGGTAAGGTTCGTTTAGGTTCTGCTCCCATGTCATCAAGCAGAGAGCTACTGTCACTTCCCGTAGGACTGGGCTTCTCTTCCTGGTCAATGTCATCATCTTTGTCCAAGTCATGTTCAAAGGCCTGAGCTTCCTCTAAGGCCCTGGCCTCACTCTCAGTGATATCTCCATTAGTTGGGAGATTTCCTATTAGCTGCTGCACTTCAGCTTCACTAAGTTCAGGATGTCCATTCTCCAAATGCTTCCTGAGAGCCAGGAATGTCCTGAAGCTGCGCTGGCAAAGGCTGCACATAGTGGCTGCTCTGATGGCATGGTACTGGGAATGTATCTGAAGCTTCTGCATTGTCTTGAAGGCCAGGCTGCAGTGGTTGCAACGATACTTATAGACATGACGATCAGATACTGAGAGCTGCTGTTGTTGCTGCTGGAGTCTTTGGAGCTCACTGAGATGGTCTTGAAGGGTATCAGGGGATTTGGTATCATGTCCTAACCCACTGGCTCTCTTCCAGTCTGGGGCCTCTGAGGCCTCCTTTGGGGGCTTGACTTCCTCACCCTGAGGGTCCAATTCATTCTTTTCTTGACTGGTCAGCTCATCCTTTAAGATGTTTCCTAAAAGTAGAAATACAATTTGAAGTACAATGCTCTGTATTGTTTCCTTTTTTCCTGACACATTATTAAGAATCATATTCTGCTTACCTTGAGATTTTCCACACCCATCAGTAAGGGAGGTAGAGGAATCCATCAGAGATAGACCTTTGTCTTGTCCAGTTTGGGGATGCATAACATTATTTGGTGCTGCTGTGTCAGGTCCAACGACCTATCAAGACCAAAACAATTGATTTATTATTATATCAGTTTAACATAATGGTAAGAGATGGTAGTCTATCTATGGTGTAATCTTAATATTTGTATACTTTGACAAAGTGTTTTAAAAGAGAACTGGCTCCTCTCAGTGGACTACAAAAATCAGGTTTATGGTAGTATATTGAGTGAGTAGAAATACACATGAGAAATACTTTGTGCAGCAGCCCTTGCCCTCTACTACACAGAAGACCAGAGGGAGGAGTGGATATTTTCATGGCATGTTAACTCTGCTTTTTAAGGGTAAACCAAGTCTTAACCCTCAAAAAGTGGTGTCTATGTGAGGAGACCTTATCTTAGTGTGTATTCAGGCTGAAGTCCCGACCAGGATACAAAACTCATTTTGCACTAACACACACACAGAACATCTTATTCATAATCATTATAACCACATACCGTCATAATAAGCTTTTCCACACAGTCAGGAGCCACACTGTGAAGGTGTGTGAGATGCAGCTGCAGGTGAATCTTGTTGCTCAGGACATCCTGGCACAGTGGGCAGCGGATAACTGGCTGCATGGAATGCTGGGACATCACATGGAGCTGCATACGGTTGGCATCTTTACTGCTGTAGTTGCAATACGGACACTGCTGAACCTAAAAAAAAAAAACAAGAAGGTATAATAACTATCCGGCAGAGTCAAGAAAACTTTTGCGTTCAAAAAGAAAAATGTATTAAAGAGCAGGAATGATTTTTCCTTAGTCGGTCTCTATCTTGATCTACGCAGTAATTAGCATAGCCTGCGGTCCCCTGTCTGCCTCACTAGAGAAATAACTTTTTAAAAACACACAAGGGTTTGGTGAATACATGCAGGAATCCTCTCTCCTGCACTGTTAGGGGGGACAATCAACACATATTTGCGAAATTCAAAGTGGATCTATACAGGGCTTTTCTATTGTTCACTGCCCACTCACCTCATCCACTACATTTCCCCCCCCGCCCCCCGTGCCCACTTCCAAACAGAAAATGTAGATCAGCCATGTTTCATGTAATTCACTTAAGTCTCAACTCATACAATTTTATTAACAGAAAACACGATTGCCCAGAATTTCTAATCAGGAGATTACAGATGACAAAGGTGTGTACTCTCCCCAGCTACGCCTTGCCCTCATTACAGGGAGTACTCTGAACATAGCTGCCTCCCCACCACCTGTCTTAATAGAATCCATTTCTGAAATGACTAAGTCCTCCCTCCTCGCAGGGCCCAGAACCAGACAAGCTAATACTTCATAATCTAATTTAAAAACACATATAATTTAAAGAGATGCAAAAGGGGAAAGAAGCAAAGGGAGGGAGGGAGGCTTAAGGCAAGTGCAGGTATTCCACTTAAGCACACAAAGACTGGCCCACTGTGCTTGATGCTAAAAAGCTCTGTCAGGGAGGGAACGTTGGGCTGCGTTTAACCCTTGCGTAGAAAGCTGGCTTCAGCAGTTGCTTAATGCTTAGCTTAGCATTTTTGCTTCTTAGAGTTCATAAGTATCTTCCCATTAGCTCATCCCACAGTCACGGTGAAGGTTAGATTTAATTAGCGCTTATGAAGAACTTGCCTCATTAGCCATTAGCCTTATGTGCATCCAACATCAGACTGCAATGTGTATTTGGAATATGAATTGCCAGATGTCCACTCAAAATATACACGCACTAAGCACTAAAACCTACATGCATTTTCTTCAGCGAGGGGAAATGATTACCCACAGTGCACCTTAAACGCTCTCAGGATCTGCAAGAGCATACCTGTCTTGAATGTCTAGGAACAAGACCGGTAACAAGTTTGAGATTGTTGCTCGGCAGTTTCCCACAAACATTTACCTGCTCATTGGCAGATGTCTTTCCCTCAGCAGACTTTGGCCTCTTTGGTGGGCTTTCAATTTGTCGATCTGGCGGGAGGGAATGTTTAACCGCAGCATTCTGTCCGGTAAGCTCTTTGGACATGGCGATCACTCCTGTCAGGTGGTCAAGGGAGAGACAGACAGAGAATGCACAGCATTAAAAATTAAAGTTTTTCATGAAGTAATCAGTTATTATTACATGTGTGGCACGCATGTGTGCATTTGTGTAATGTATGCTTGGACATATTTACAGCAAATCTTGTTTTGTAACAGTTTAAAAGCAAGTAAATAAAGCTGGCAATTGCATTAATACATTTCAATATTTGGGGCCATGTTAGATCATGAAATGGTCAATAGACAATTGATGTACATATAATAGAGTAAACAGCAAGAGTACAAAGTTAATATTCAGTGGGACATGGGTGATGATTTAAAAAATGATCTGACAACAAGACAACATAAGCAGGGAGACAAGTGTGGACTGTGTTATTCACATTCATGTACACTGATGTGTTTCTGCCCTGAGGAAATGTGAAATGGAGAAAACTCCGGCAAGCTCATTATCACAGCACGACATACATTAAATGTTATGGTAATATTATACACTTCATTAGTTCATATACATTTCCCCAGCTGCCTCAACAACTCCTCTGTCTGTACAAGATGCTAAATTTTCGGGGGCTCGGTCACGGCTGGTGGTACAGTAGCAGCGGCGCTTGTGTGTGTCTGTTTGTGTGCGCACGTTTAAGCGTGTGTGACGTTAACAGCGGGGCTCAGTGTGGAGAGATCAGCCTCTGGTTGTATAAATGCTGCAGCCGCTGATAAATCTTTCATTAGCCTCATCCTAAGATACAAGCCATGCAGGCTCTGCTTTACTCCTGCCACTGCAATTTACCCACACAAACACAAAGACACAACAACAGCAACTCTCCCTCCCTGCTCTCTTCCTCCCTCTCTCCCTAAGCCATCAGCCCCCTTTTCTGCCTCCCCTCCCCTTGTCTGGTCACTCAAGGCAATATGTGAGCCTCACTCTTGCGAATCAACGCTTCACGCTAGATGCACAAATAGAAAAAAAAGGGAAATCAAAGCACTGATACATGGAGAGGGGGGTTGAAAAAAAACATTTTGTATTTCATATTATTTCGTGGCTCGTGTTTGTATTGGGCGCATATCAATTCCTCTGGCCCGTTCATGCATTTTAATTCTGTTGCATTAAGTAGGCGTTCCACTTATTTTATTTGTAATCCCCTATATCTGGAGCCTGAAATATTGGCCTGTCAAGGAAAGTGACAAGAGAGAGGGAGGGAGGGAAGAAAGGAAGAAAGAGAGCGAGAGAGGGGGGGAAGAAAAAAAAAAAACACATGGTCACAATGTGAATTTCCGAGAACATCCGAGAATTGCTCTGCAGCTCAGGAAAGCGAGGTAATCTCGTATTCCACTGCCTGCGATGGCCCCTGCAGGGCCTGTGTGGGTGTCGGTGTGCACATGTGTGTGTATATTGTGTACTTCATGACAGGCCGCTGACACCCCATTGGTCAGATTGGTCCAGGCTGCTAGCACCTATCATATCACCTGACCTTTTCCAAAGCCTGCACCCGCCTCCAGTATTTATTATGACCATTTCTAATTCCAACTTTCAATTTTTGCGTCCGTCTTGCAGTCAATTTGCAACTAAATTACATCCCTGCCAAAAAAAAACGAGATGAGACGATTGTCGGACAAGAGACTGCAAATACATTTACAATGCGGCGGAGGAAAGAGCCTGCACATCACCATTGATTACTGTCATTTTGAATGTAAATGTATTTGTGTAGCATGTGTGTGTGTGTGCAAACTGAAGATCTGTCCTTCTGGTGCAAAGTCGTGCTTTCATCATCACTTAAAATACTCAGAGAATGAAAAACATTTGGTCAACCCTGAACTCTCTCTGCCTGGACACTTAGGAACTTTAAATGGAAAGTCCCGTGAGTGGATAATAGTCATTTTGAGGCATGTAATTGTGTTCAAAAAGATAAAATCACAAGCAACACAAATAAATACAATGGGCAATAGAATTCTATATAAATTTACGAGAGAAAATCTAAATATCCCTCCGTCTGCAGATGGAATCATTTCCCTGCCCTCAATATCCGAAATTATTAGAGAGAAATAATGGAAGAGAGCAGGACGGAAAACTAGACAGGATCAGTGGACTATCCTCTCATTTTCCTTTGTCTCCAAGTCTGCACCCTACACTTAATGACAGTGTCCTTTTTTTCTCCCCCCCCCCCAATCCCTTCATCCTGACGTTGGGCTCCACCAGCTGCAGCCCAGTGAAGCGGAGGGGCAGAATAAACCTGACACCACCAGCCCCACTCTGCCAATGACAAATGTCTGCACGCAGCAGGACCTTGCTTGATTAGATAAATCAAAAGGTGATTTATGACACTCAACCCCCCTTTTGCATTGCAGGGGAAGAGAGCGGCACACTCGCCACCCATCTTTATTTGCGACTGTCAATGATGTTTAGGGAGTGGCGCACACACGCACTTGTATACATGCATGCAGGGCGCTCAAATGGAGAGTCGCAATGGAGGGAGAGGTGTGGAGGAAAAAGAGGGAAGAACAGGAAAAATAAAAACAGTGTAGAGACGGACACAGAAGCCCAGAGCTCTAAACACCTCAGGATATTTCTGTCTCAAATTGTTCCTCAAAACGCAGGATGACCAACAATGCCATCATAGCTAATGCTTTCCCGTGGATCTATTTTAGAATCTGCCCTTTTGTGTTGGAAAGGGTAAGACATTTTGTGCAAACTGAACCAAGCAAATGAGATTTTCACACAAACAAGCACGTAATTGAATCCTTATATCTCTCAAACTATGACTTCAGGTGAAATCAACGACATCATCAGGGCAGCGTCTTGGACAGGCTTTCAAAAATAACCGCCGTGGACCTATTGCAATCTTCTTTTCGCCTTTTTCTTTCGTTTACAAGCCACAGAACAAGCAGATTCCATTCCTGACATTTCATTTCATGAAAATAAAAAACCCAGAAACATAGGGAAGAGAGTGGTGGTTGAGAGTGGGGTGGAGGGGGCTGTCAATTAAGAAGGAGCAGGCTGGGTGGCGGCAGCTTGGATTTAGTATTCAATTTAGCTGTCCTGAGCCCTGGCAGACTGGCTAAGGTTACGGAGCAGTAAATCTAGAGTGGAGAGCCGGCCAAAACAGGCCATGGTGGGCCGGCCGGCATGATTTACTGGCCTGGTGCTCCGAGGTTACGCATTAGGCTGACCCCCGGTCACCTGATAACATTACAGCAACACACTCTGAACCCCAAACTCCCACTGAAGCACTCAGCAGGTCCAGATCTAGCCGGAGGGAGGAGGAGAGAGAGGCAGAGAGAGATAGAGACAGAGAGACAGAGAGGGCCTCTCTCTCTCAAACCGCCCCTGCACCCTCTCTACACCCACTTCCACTCCGTCTGTGCGTTCATGGGAAGGGTCCACCACATTAAGTGCCATCCCAAACCAATTAGTGGGGAGTGGAAGTGGGTTATAAAAAAAACCCAACAGCGAGTCTGCATCGATGCTGACATACTGACCATGTGCGACGGCTGTGTTGTGTTTGTCATGCAACACACTCTGTACAAACACAAACTGCTCAAACTAAGACAGAGATTTAATATTGTCAAACAGGCGATAACAACTTAAAGGTTATATTTTTACAAGGACTGTTGCAAAAAACGAACAGAGGAGCTTAAAACGAGATGTTGGGAGCATGTTATTTTGGGAGTCACCATGGTTACGAAACAGTTCCTGTTTCCGCTGAGGAAAGGGAAGTTCACCCTGTAGCTTTCCGCTGTATTTATACCCTGCACCTTCAAGAAGTGTGTGTCATTCAGCTGTGAGTGTGACAACAAACACAGTCGCCCTCTGTTACGGAGTGAAGTGTGTCCGATTTGACAAAGGCCCAGAGAGAGACAGAGGGATGGAGGGAGATGAGTGAGGGAAACACATAGTCAGATGGAGAGGGAGAGAGGAAGAGAGAGATGCTTAAACAACAGCTGCCTTGTAGTTTGTGATTTTTAATGACTACCCTTCCTTTCTGTTCCATCTCCGGTTTGTACGCTCATGAGAGATAAATATGAGCGTGGCCTTGTCACATTTGACAAATCGTCTGAGACATTCAACAAGCTGTCATTACACAGAAAACACACACACACACACACGCACAAAGGAATTGCTGCAGGCTTGTAATTAAACATGCTAATATATTTAATATATTTTAATCTCATCATTGAGAGACAGAAAAAGAGCAAAGCTCTCATCTCAAATTGGGCAAATTTGCAAGATGCATGCAAATATAAAAAAAACTGAAGATATGAATGTGAACAAGCTAATATGGAATATTCAACATCTCATCCTGTTTGCCTGCAATTTCATTTTGGTCCAGCCCTACCTGTCACAAATGAACACACAACATTTGTTAGCAGGTAGAGATCAGTGGGGCTGCTGCATAAGATCATTTCCACGCCAGGGTCTTTGTTTATCCGGACAAAGAAGTGGGCCCCTGAGCCATGATGGCGACATGCGCCATCTACAGTACACAGATAGCACAAAGCTATCTGGAAGTAATCCACATAGGGGACATTTGCATGAAGAATGTAACATGAATTATAATTAATCTAAAGTGACATGGGATTAAAAAAGACATTGTAAATGAAGCAAGGGGGAAAAGGCTCTTTGGGTTGGTCGTTCCTTGCCCTTCCCCCCATCTCTCTCTCTCTCTCTTCCCTTCTCTATCTATCTGCCCCTCTTTGTTTAAAGGATCTTGGTCTTGGAGATGAAGTGCGCAAACACACTGCTCACTTGGTCACACTGTAATCCCTTCCCTGGAGATCTCCACACACACACACAGACACACACACACACACACACACACATTGGAACATTTCAAGCCTGCCAGAGATTTGGGGCTGAGGAAGGAGATGCTAAATCTTACTACATTAAGCTGGAAAAAGAGAAAAACAAGGCCCCCGTCTCTGATGATAACCCGAGCATAACAACACACCACTGACACATCAGAACCTCTACCATTAGACTTTCTGAAACCTCCCTTTAATCCAAAGGCAAA